ATGGGCGTCCATACCTGTTACAGAGTTAGATTTATTATTATTATTATTATTATTATTATTATCTGTATTGTGTACGAGTTTCTTTCCCAGAAACCAATGCCTATACTAATGTGCTTCTAACAGACATTCTGTATTGTTCCCTGCGTCATCACGCAACCATTTTGGCCTTTAAAATTGAATTATCCTACGTACCAGCGGTTCTCAAACTTCGTGATGTTGTGGTACCCTAAAATGATCCATAAATCTATGCGATTCACCTTGAAGCTATGATGTCATCAGGAGTATTGGGACAGAAATATAGCGTGTTCGCGTTTCTAGGGACCTTCCGGCTTGTGATCACTTTTTCCCAAACAGCCTGTGTTAAGGATTTTACTGACTTACAGACTTAACAGAACTGTTCGTCGATACGCCCACGATTTAAATAATTCTGTAGAATTCGTTAACCCACATTAGAGAACACCCACAGTTTGTAAAACCATGTTTTGAACTAGGCTTGTAGATTTCTAACTACACTGTACAACAATCTTTTGACTGGTATTTACGATGATTTCCACTGTACGAGTTTAATTCCTCAAATCTAAAAGTTCTTGAAAAAGGTTCTGTTTCATTTATAGAGACCGCCTCTGTGGTCTAGTGGTCAGAGTTCCTGGCTACAGATCCGGAGGTCCCGGATTCGATTCCCGACGCTACCAGATTTTCTGACAAGTAGTGAGTCGGGAACGGGGCCCACTCAACCTCGTGAGGATAATTCAGGAACTACTTGAATGGAAAAGTAGCGGCTCCGGTCTAGAAAACCGAGATTAACCGCCGTGGGGATTCGTTGTGCTGACACGTGACACCCTCTATCCGCTAAAGTTGGCACTAACTTCGCCGACAAGCGACGGTCGCTCGGCATTCACATTCGTAATCTTGTCAGAGTCAGAGTCAGAGTCAGAGTCAGAGTCAGAGTTTACTACCAGCTTAAATGTAAGTTTGCAAGGTAATTTTCTAGTCCTTGCCCCTTGCATTCAGCTAACACAAGACAGTCTAGTGGCTGGCTCATGTGAAAACAGTAATGAAAATTCAGGCGTCAATAAAAACAATTTAATACCGTCACCAGCTGAATGACTGTAAGCTTTCCAAAGTCTGTATTCCTTGGATGTATTAAAGCAGTTACATTACAGTTTAGTAAAATATATTACATTATATTACATTAAATTTATGGCATATATTACACCGCGCGTCTTTGTTAAAGTTCAGATTTGACGAGTCGTGAATTTTCAGTGTCAAGGCGTCTGCTTAGAACATGGTCTCAGACATCATTACCATAAAATTAGTTACAGTGATCACACCTTCGTTGCGTCATTTCGTGAAACATCATTCATATCCCCGAGGTACAAAACAAGTCCTATCCCATTCTGACTAACCAATTATTTTTTCTTTTAGTTTCTTGGGGTGGGGTGAGACTGAGTCCAATTGGTACGTCTTCCACTCTCTTGCCTATTTTACCGACCCCTGATGATAGATGTTGAATGTGGAGTAGCCAGTGGAAAGATAATTGGCAGAGGAAAACGAAGTACTCGGAGAAAACCTGCCCTAGTGCCACTTTGTTCACCACAAACCTCACATGACCTGACCCGGCCTCGAACCCGAGACGCCGCAGTGGAAAACGGCGATTAACCGCCTGAGCTATGATACGGCCTAATTAATATTATATGCTGCTTGCATGAAATGCACAAAATGAACACAGAAATATACTGCTCTGTCCTCATGTTTTCTCTACAAATCGTTATATCAGTATTAATATTATATGATATTTTTGTTTCGTATCTAAAATTCATACAGAACTTGTAACGGCATACCTTCACACTAAACCAATGTTGTAAGTAAAGTAAGTAAAGCTATCCCTGTAACCGGCTATGGAGGCCCATGGGGTTCTGAGATGTTGAGGTTCCCACATTTTCTAGACAATCAGCTCATAGATGGAGGCAAGGTTGTCAGCCCTACGCGCCGGCCGCCCCCAAGAACATTCCTGGTACTCATTTCTGTTAGAGGCTGAGTCGACCCTAGGATCATAGTGCGGCTAGAAGGATTAGGTCAACTGAAAAAATCCAATTACCTCATCGGGATCTGAACCCGCGACCTTACGGCTTGTAGCATAGTGCCTCAACCAACTACTCTACCGCATGCCCCCCCCTTTGTATGGAAACTTACGGTGCTCCCAGTAGCTAGACGCTATGTCAAGTGGTATAATAATAGATCGACTGGTAAAAACGTAAAGCTATCCCTGTAACAGGCATTGAAGGCCCGTAAGGTTGTGAGACGTCGAGGTTCCCACACAGTCTAGACAATCGGCTCACAGATGGCGGTGATGTTTTCATCCTTAGACGCCGGCAATAGACGAGTGGTGTACCGGAAAATAATTGGAAAGAAGCAATCGTGGCATAATCTAGGTACCATCCTTTCATTTTCCTGGAGGAACAGAGGAAAACTACGAAGATTTTCAGAAGAGTGGGTGTCCAGACCGAGATTCGAAACGAACACCTCCAAAATACAAGTCAAAATCTTTACCTCTACGTCAGCCTGTCTTAGTCATAATCCGCCAGTCGTAAAGTAACTTTCACTTTGATTTTGTCTTTCACAACGAGTTAACAGGCTTAGCATAATGCAGTGACAGATGTCACCGGCCTGGAAGCGGATTCGAATACCTCCCCCGTAGCCCTGTGAGTCGTAGGAGGGTACGAAAAAGGGAACCCAGTTCCTGGGGGTATAACTGCGCCACCCTGCTCCGGGGGGATATAAATACGGGGAACTGGCCCTCGACATTGGTAGAGTCCCGATTCTGAGGCAGTAAAATATTGTCATGAGTCCAGCGGGACTCGGACCTGAGAATGAGTGCGCTGGCGAAACCAACAACAATTGCAAACGACAGACCCTGCCCATCTTACCCTCCTTGACTTAATCACTCTAATTATACTTGGAGAATAGTACAAGTTATGAAGCTCCTCATTATGCAGTTTTCTCCAACCTCCTGTCACTTCATCTCCCTTCGGTCCAAATATTCTCCTCAGCACCCTGTTCTCAAACACCCTCAGTCTGTGTTCTTCCCTTAATGTCAGAGACCAAGTTTCACACCCATACAGAACCACAGGAAAAATTATAGTTTTGTATGTTATAATTTTTACGTTTTTGGACAGCAGACGAGAAGACAAAAGGTTCTGGACTGAATGGTAGCAAGCATTACCCGAGTACAAGCATTGAATATCGATTTCAGTAACTATAAAACACTGATTCTGAAATATGTCTTTGTTTAGCCTCAATCTGCTTGTATATAAAATATATATACGAACTTCAAAGCGGTTCATGAACCCAATTTCCTACGAACTACACAATAGATTCGCATATCCGCCTTGCCATTAGGGCTGAGTGAAATGAAATTGGATGCACAGTAAACATTAGTCTTGCTTGCAGCTTGCAGTAAATCTACTTGCCTGCACTCTGTATTCTAATTTCGCGTTTCCTGTACTGGCTGTTGGAAAGTGCATTCACTTAATGAGAAGGACATGGGGGGCGGGGGTGGGGGGAGAGGAGTTTGGATAACTTGTGAACAAAATGCAAAAGCGTTCCAATGGTTTAGCATGCATCTCCACTCGCTTGTCTTGTACTCCGCATTGTGGCTTTCAGCACTTATGATTTACTAGCAATAGAAGTTACTGGCACCAAGGAAAGAAGAACCACAACCAATTGATTAATAAGGTAATCTGATTTGTAACGCAGGGTAGCTCGAAGAGGGCACGACGTTTCGGAGGAACAGACTCGAAGAATACAAGCAAAAAAAAAACAACAAAAATAAGCGGGAAGATTATCTCACCTGGTTTATTTCTTATTTTATTTTTTATCCTGAAGATGGATGTGATATTTTTCTCCGAAACGTCGGGTTCTCGCTGTGGTAAGCCTAGAAGACCGTGCTATGATAGGTTGATATACCGCAAACTAGCAAGTTAGCTCAGCAGGTAATGCTTCTTACTTCTATTCGGAAGGGGTCCATTTCGAATCTGGGGCTCTTTTTCCGTGGGTAAAGCTGCAGGGGCGTGAAGATGACCACTTACTTCTACCTAGTACGGAGGTTAAGAATGACGGATCTACACACCCACTCAATCATATGTCTTCATGGCGTGGTGTCTGATTACGTAACTAAGTATTTTTTTTCCCCCCTTGGCACTACAGCTCCAGTGGGCCTAAGCCTATCTCCATGAACTTCTCCGTTCACTTCGGTTTTTCTAGATCTTACACATTCGGTAGGACTCCTTGGGCGGGTGATCAGCTCGTCGCAAGGCCTCTACCTGTACACAAACACAGAAAAACGCACACACACAAACTAAACATCCATGTCCTGAGTGGGATTCGAACCCATGATCCCGGTTTCCAAGCAAGCGAAGACAGTACATGCCTTAGACCGCTCGGCTACCGTGACCGGCCCGTAACTAAGTATAGGATTAATATTATTTTTAAAACTTTTCATACCTTGAAACGGAAACTTTACGTATATTGTGATGTTTCGAAACTTGTTTTCTTTATATGAAAGGAGTCTGCCGTGTGTTAGCTCCTCCCCTCTCTTTAAAAATCATCATAAGAAGCCAACAATGTTCCGCTCCAAAGATTCCATAGTTAGGAAGGTGAATGCATTTTCCAACACTGGAAAAAAGAAAATTTGAAATGGCTTTTTAGCTTTGACACTTCTATAAACACGTTGGTTTTTGGATGAAAAAATGAAGCACATGGTTTAAATCAGTATATTGTACTCATGATACTATTTCCTCCCGAAATATCTTTTGTCAATTTATTCGCCCCCCTTTTTTACAGTGAATAATGTTCATTCCATCTCTTTCTCCCTTTTAACAATAGTATGCACTTCGCTATAGAACAATTCTGCTTTTTTGTTCATTGTAGC